ACAGCTCATGATAAACTATTCAGTTCATAAAGCAAACTCCATAGCTCATAATAGACTTCCCAGTTCATGGAATGAGCTAAAGCAGTGGTGAGCACTTCATGTCATTAAAGTTCAGGATATATTCTCTACCTTGCAACCCAATCCCAAACTCGCTTACTTCGAGGAGATCTAAAGGACCCCTCGAAGTAGGGGACAGGGGAAAGAGAAAGCAAATCAAGCAAGCACAGCAAACAAAGCTACAACAAAAATTTCAAATCTACTTCAAGTAGTCAAGTGTTGAACATTGGCATCAAATTTACATTTAAAGGCGAAGAGTTCTAGCCATGTAAAAAAAAATCTCTCTCTCTTAAGATTTAGCAGAAGTAGGAGGAGAGGAGCATGATAACTCGGCAGTTGACTCTCATGGTGAAGTAGCAGATGAACCTTCTAGTTGATCAGCATCAAAAATCTCAGAAAGACCAGAAGCTGGGATCTCAATTTCTGCTCCTGGCGAACTCTGGGCAAGAGCCCTAGTCATAAGATCTGCAGAAAAAGGAATAATGAGAGAGGAAGTGGAAGAGCTGACCGGGAGCTCGGCAGTTACTTGGACAGGAACAGTTTCTAAGGTAAGAACCATAGGGGCAACCAAAGGAGGGGAAAAGCACATAGTCGGGGGAATTAGAACACCACCAAGAGGAAGCTCAGGATTCGCACCCGCGTGCCCTATGTTGACCTCTTCCTCTTCGTGTTGAGGAGGAATCTCAATGTCAAAGCTTAGATCAAGGTACACCTTTTCAGCCCATTCTTGGAAGGCAAGCCCTCTAGTAGCCCATTTAGTTGTAATGTCATCCATCAGCTTATCAACGAGGGCATCTTTCTCCTTCACCACTGTCTTCTGTGCCTCGAGCTCATTTCGGAGAGTATCACTCACCTCTGCCAGGACGTCGTACTCCTCTTTCATGTTCTTATAAGAGCTTAGGGCCTCCAATGTTTCCTGACTAGCTTTGGCGCAGGCATTTGTCTTAAATTTAAGCTCTCTTTGAATTTTCTCTTCATTCACTTCTAAGCTCTTGATGATCGAAGCTTGTTTTTCCACTTGTGTTTGCAAGTCCTGAATATGGGTTTGGAGGTCATGATTGGCAAAGGCCAGCTCGGCACATTTGAGTTCAAATGCCTTCGAGGCCTTTGTAGAGTTCTCCAAGTCTCGAATTCGAATTAATAGCCCCTTCGTGTAGATGGTCATCTGGGAGCAAAGGCAGCAGGGATTAAAAAGTCAACATAGAAGCGATCACCAAAAAAAGGAATTACGAAACGAATTAAAGGAGATCTTACCGTGACAGCTCCATGCAAAGCTACGTTGACAGAGTTCTCAAGCGGCATGGCAGCAGCCCTTTGGACATCAGAAAGGGGAATGATGGAGTCAAGAGCATCTGCGGCGAGCTCAGCATCATCCAGGAAAGAGCCACCCTCTTTCTCCTCCTTAGCCTGCTTCACTTTCTCAGTCTTGGGACTATTCTGGGATGGCAGTAGAGACTTCCCAGGCAGCCCAAAAGAAACGGAGACAAGCAAAACTCGAGTCACTAACGCTAAAGCCTTCTCGACCTCAACTGAAGTGGGAGAGGTCGGCTCAAGAGCCCCCCCCAGGAGTAAGAAAGAGCTTATGGGAGAAGAGGTCTTGACAAGTGGTGACACGCTTGGTGATGGAATAAATGCCACTTGAGTAGGTATAGTGGAAACGGAAGGCACACCCACCTTGGATGCCATAGCTGGAGGAGGGATGTTGCTACCGGAACCAACCTCGGCCTTACGCTTAGCCCCACTTCTGTTCTTCTTTAACAAGGCAACCTTGGCCTCAAGCGCTTCTTGGGATGGACGTATAGTGGAAGAAGCTGGAAGCACAAGAATAAGTTAAAAGAAATAAAAAAAAAGTAGAAGAGTAAGAGGCAAAAAGGGCTTAAAGGTAAGAGAAAGGAAACAAACATGCCATTTCCTCACCACTGACAGCGAAGAGGGTAATGGGATTCTCAATCTTCACCTCACAAGGACTAAATCCAAGCTCTACAAGAACTTGGGGTTGAATGAGCTCTGAATATTTTTTTGAATTATAGTTGGCCAAACTCCTTAAAACTCGCTTATCTGAAACACCGAGTTCTGGTCTGATGCCTGAAAAATAAAACCAGTCAGCTAAGATAAATACTAAGGATTATCCCAACTTGCTCAAGAAAGGCTCACCCAAGTTATTTGGGGCAGACCAGCCCCGAGGAATTGGAAAAGTATCAGTCACATCGTTGGAGTTGAACTCCCAGTTTCTCCTCCACATGAAAAAAGAAAAGTTTCTTCCAACCTTTGTGGGAGCTCGGGAGATCGGAGATAAGAACTTTGGTTTTCACGCGCTTGGAGACATATAGAAAATCATCTGAAGGAGTGTACTTGACATTGAAAAATTTCATGAGCAAAGGAACAGTAGGGACCCCCAGATCGTGCTTTTTGAAGAAAATAAGGAGGCCCACCAATGCCCCCCCAAAAATTAGGAGAGAGCTGAGCAGGGCAGACATTGAAATGCTGCAAAACACCCTTGATAAAGGGATGCATGGGAAAGCGAAGGTCATTCTCAAAGGCGGCCATGAAGAAATAGATTTTCTTGGGAATGGAAAAATCATATCGAGTGTACATGTCTGGACTCCAGAACTGCACACCTTGGGGAAAGCCAAAACGACCTGCTAAAACTTTCAAATAAGAAGGAACGAGGTCACTAGGGCCCATGAGCTCAGTAGCCCTAGGAGCAGGACCTCCACCTTCAACATTGCCAGAAATCCCAACACCACTCATTTTGGTTTTGCCCTTGTTGGGGGCTTTAGGAGCTATAAGGGATGGCAAAGGAGGTTCCTTAGAACCACCCCTGACTTCTGTAGAATCCATCCCGAGGAATTCATCAATTTCCTGCCCCACATCTCCCAAATCAGAATTCGCCTCAGCAGATCTGTCTTTCATCAGAGAAATGGATGAACCCGTGGCCTCAAACGAAGTGGACATAGCTAGGTTAGAAAAAGGGAGCCTAAAAGACCTGTAAAGTGGGGGAACCTCTAAGAAACACTCTCTGAGAGTCAGGGGCAAGACACCAACGACCTATAACGAAAATCCTAGCCGTAGAATAAGGGTCTAAGAAGAGGGGAATGTGAGATAGAGAAAGATTTCGATTCCTAAAATAGCATAACCGAAAGGTCAAAAAATGCAATAACCACCTCAGATTTGAGGGATCCAGAACGAGGAACTACGAAAAAGATAAAAGACATACCTAGACGAAGATCAACAATGCCCTAAAGCTCGAGAACAAAATCTGAAAACAAGCCTCGCAAGCCTTCAGATCAAATTAAAGGAAATTGTCTCCGTGAGAAACCCTAAGAACTATTGCAAATCGAGGAAGAAGAAATTGCAAGGAAACAAAGGAAAAAAAGCCAGAAAGAAGTTAAAGAGTGAGGGGAAGACTGTTGGTCTAGGAGCATTTAAAGCTAACGGTACAAAGGGGTTCAAAATGGACAGTGCGCACAAGAAACAAGAAGAGAAGTGATTGATGAAAACCGTCAGAAGTATGTTCTCACAGATATCGAGGTCACCTAATGAAGGTGTAATTTGTCTCAGTTTGAGCTAAGCCCTTGCCCAAGCCAACTTGACCAAGAGCTGGGGGGCAACTGATGATACCCAGAAAAGTATGAGCTTAGACAAAGAGGTTGAACAGGAAGGTTAGACAAGTTACGCAGAGCTCAAAGGATCTGAGCTAGAGCTCCCCCCAGGCGAGACGATAGCGGAAAAGACGATGGAGCAGCTGGATATTAGCAGGCGGTAAAGAATCATATTCAAGGCACAAAGCTCCCGAATAATCAAGATCTTCTCCAAAAATCAAGAAGAATCCCCCAGATAAATGGCGAGGATCTCGGTGCAAATCCTACAGAACTAGGAATTGTTCTATAAATACTGCACGATGCCTCCAATATAGAAAGATAGAAAAATAATAACCCTAAGAGAACCAGAGGTCGATTGTAAACTGCATCCCCCATTACTGAAACGAAAGGAATAAGAATCTCCATTGAATAGTGGACTAGCCGAGCTCCCGAGCCGGTGAACCACTATAATTTTACTATGCAATCTCTCCCAATTCCCCAACAATTTCTACTCAATTCTCACAAGCCTTGTAGTTCAGTTCTAGGTCACCAGGTACCATTCATTCCCTCTGCTCATCCACGCGAATTCACGCCATCAATATCTAAAAATAACGTCATTTGTTAACAATAAAATAACCAAATAACTGAACCATAACAGGGTCAACTGACGAGTTCTATCCCCCAACTTTGCGGTTAAACATCCATCCACGAAAGGGGAGCCAATTCTGTTCGCTTACATCCTTAGTAAGAGGAATCCAAGTCAACCAAGGAAACTCTCAAGTATACATGTTCAGGTCACCCCTGTTGATGTCACTAGAAGAACCAGTGTCATTAGCTCGAGATATTTGTTTGGACCGAGCTCCCATGTTCACAAGCTAATTATAGGAGGTGTTAGTATAATTTCAAAAAAATAAGAGGATGTCTATGTAATTAGATCAATTTATAGGGGTGTCAATGTAAAATATAAATTATAATATAAATTATAATATTAGCCGCCAAATTTAAATTGGTAGGGTTGGAGGTGATGAGTGACAATAGTGGCAATGTCTTTCGTAGTGGCAATTAAACTAGTAGTGTGGCATTGCCACAAAAACTTCAGGACAGAAAAGAGAGACTTACCTCTGTTGGAGCTAGAGATTTCACTGAAGCTTTGCAGGCGATCAATCCCAAGGTTTCTTCAGCTATGAATCAATGTTTACTTCGTGAACTCACGTTTAGGGAAGTTGGGTGTGCGGTCTTTGAGTTGGGAGTTCTCAAGGCTCCTGGGCCTGATGGTGTCCCAAGGATTTTTTATACTCATTTTTGCACATTGTGGGGTAGGATGTCTTTCTTATGGTTAAAGAATTCATTGAGGGGGGTCATATGTCTTCTTCCCTGAATCATACCAACCTTGTTCTTATTCCGAAGGAAGCCTCACCTGAAACAATCTCTCAATTCCGTCCTATCGCTCTGTGTAACTTCGCTTACAAGGTCATCTCTAAAGTTCTAGCAAACATACTGAAGCCTTTGATGAGTTCTATTATTTCCCCCAACCAGGCAACCTTTATTCCTAATCGCCAAATTCAAGATAGTATTTTTATTGCTAATGAAGTTTTTCACCATCTTAAAGGCAAAAGAAAAGGTACAATACCGAAGTTGGCTATTAAGATGGACATTAGTAAAACCTATGACCGGGTCGAATGGGATTTTTTGGAAGCTACTATTTTATCCCTGGGGTTTGATAGGCGATGGGTGCATTTGATGATGCAATGTGTTTCTACTACGTCTTTTACCGTGCTATTGAATGGGGCTCGCTAAGGTGAAGTTCAACCACAACAAGGCTTGCGCCGAGGGGATCCTTTGTCCCCTTATCTTTTTATGTTTGTTGTTGATGTGCTATCGGTTATGATCCTTAAAGGTATGGCTGCCAATAGGTTGGTGGGATTGAAGATTAGGAGACGAAACCCTGTTATTTCGCATCTCTTCTTTGCTGATGACTCTCTTTTCTTCCTCAAGGCTAAGGATGGCTGTGTAAGGGAATTCCTCAGGACTCTTCAATGCTATTGTGCTTCTTCAGGTTAAAGTGCCAATTTACAGAAATCTGGTATCATTTTCTTGGCAAATTCTTCTCATGAGCAAAGGAGTCGTCTCAGCCTTCACTTGGGTATGCAGTCTCTTCCTCACTAGTCTAAATATTTGGGCATTCCTACCATGTGGGGTCGTTCACGGAGTGAGGTGTTTGGGTATATTCTGGAATATGTTGCAAAGAAACTCTAAGGCTAGAAAGGGTCTTGTCTAACACAGGCGGGGAAGGAGGTCCTAATAAAGGTGGTAATCCAAGCTATTCCTAACTATGCTATGTCTGTTGTTGCGTTTCGTAATAGCTTCTGTAACAAGCTTAATGGCTATGTCTGGCGTTTTTGGTGGAAAGGGTCTATGGAGGGTAATGGGACCTCTTGAAAGAAGTGGAGAAAAATGACGAAATCCAAGAAGGTTGGGGGCATGGGTTTCAAGGATTTCAAGTTATTTAATCAGGCTCTTCTTGCTAAGCAAGGATGGCGTCTCTTGTCTCAACCTGATTCCTTTTGGGAGAAGTTTGTGAAGGCCATCTATTATTTGAGTGGGGACTTTATGGAGGCCAGGAGGGGTCATCATCCTTCATGGGCTTGGTGCAGCCTCCTTCATAGAAGAACCTTGCTTGATAAACGCATTATGTGGCAAATCAGGGATAGGAAAGTGGTTAGCTTTTGGACTGATAAATGGGTCCCTCTTTCTCCTTCCTTGACTATTCAGTCTCCTCAACCCAATGACAGTAGGATTAACAAAGTGGCTGATGTTATTCTTTTAAATCCTTGTCGATGGGATACTTTTGGATTGGTTGTTGTTATTTCAAAGGCAAATTTATCTGCTATACTTTCTATTCCTCTCTCATTCAGAGGAGGAGCTGATAAACGTGTCTAGTGGCCAAGCACCAAGGGGATCTATTCGGTCAAATCAAGGTATACGATAGGCAACAAACAGCTGCAGTCCTCTGTGAAATTCAACTCTTCTATCTTTCCCCAACCCAAGCTCTGGTAGGTGGTCTGGAACATGAAGGCCTTACCAAAGGTGAGGCACTTTTTGTGGAGGGCTTGCCACAACATTCTTGCTGCTAAGGAGAACCTTTTTAAACGTAAGTGTGTTGCTACCCCAATCTGCCCTATTTGTTTGTCTTTTCCTAAATCTATTGAACATCTTTTGTTTGAGTGTGAGTGGACCCAGAGGATCTGGTTTAGAATGGATTTGTTTGGTAGGCAGACTATGAACTCTTTCATGTCTGTGTTACAACGGACCTCTTGCTTATTAGAGCTGGTGGAGAATGCCGCATGTAGATTGGTGTTTTTAAGGAAATTAGCAACAGTGGATTGGGTCATTTGGAAAGCCAGGAAACAGAAAGTGTTTTGCGATGAGGAGGTCAATGCTTTTGCCTCACTTTTGCGTGCTCAGTGCCTGTGGAGTGTTCAGTTTTGTGGGTCTGCTACTGGGAATGTGAGGCTTGATGATCTTATGGTTGCTGAGGTGGGGAATTGATTTTTGGTGCAGCCAAGTCATTTTCTGCTGGATCTTCTTTGGCATCTAAAGCCAGAGCTGTCCGCCAGGCTTGCATTCTTGTTGATGCTCCTTTGATGTCTAATGCTACTATTATGAATGATTATTTGTCTATCATTAAATTAAATGCTAAGGGAAGATGCTCCTCCATGGGAGATTAGAGTCATACTGGATGATATTAGATTTTTTGCAAGGTTGCATAACCTTCGCTTTTTACACAAGCCACGAGCTTGTAATAAGGCAGCTCATTGGGTGGCAGCTTCTAAGCTAACCAACTCTCTCCCTCTGGATTGATTAGGCTTCCTCCTCCCGAGCTTATGGATTCTCTTTTGTCTGACTGTAATTTAATTTTTTTCTACGTAATTAATGCTATTTTCTCTTTCTTTGCTCAAAAAAAAAAAAGAGAGACTTAAATAGTTTGTTTTCTGGCTTTTTTTTTTCATGGATATTGTGAGATAAAAATGGGTTATTTCATGGGCAAAACGGAAATGATGGAGAAATTTGTTACAAATTGTCCCATCACAAGGGGTGTTAATAATATTTCACAAACAAGAAGGGGTGCAGTGAAAATATCATAAACTAAGAGGATGCCAATGTAATTTATCCTATTTGATTATGATAAATTAAATTAATAATATTAATAAATTAGCTCTAAATAATAGTATTATTTTAAATATTGTTAAAAGGATTGTAGTTCAAGCGAGTTGAGAAAAAAAATCATGTGACCCACCAGTAATGTAAGTGGTACATGCCAATCCCATGTGTATTCATGCACTCCGTTCTGTCTGCTATGCAACTAAAGCTTTAGATCTTGGTTTTTTTTTTGTGTTTTCCGAAGTTGTTCAAAGAGGAAAAATATGGATCATGAGACATGCGACAACACCATGAGCAGTGGCGGACGAAAAAGAGCATTTGCCTTTTTTTATAATAGTGGATTACTAGTTATTGTTTGTATTTGAAGATATAAAGTTATAAAAAAATGATTAATAATATATATATTTGTATTCATTCCTAAAATCATAACACAAATATAAAGAAGAAAAAATGGAATTTAAACACTGGTTATAGTGGTGGTAAGCTTAGCTAGTGATGGTAGTTAAAGAAGATGATGGTTGTAGTGGACGGCGACAATCATGGTGGTGGCGGCAACCGTAGGTGGCCATAGTGGTGGTAGTGGTGAATTTTGGGTGACAATGATGGTAGTGACAGTTATGGGTGATGGCGGTGATGGTAGTGGGTGTGGGTGTGGGTGTGGGTGTGGGTGGTGGTGGGCTACAGTGATGGTGATTAGCAATGGTGGGTTCTGATGGTGGGCAGTGACAATGTTGACAATGGGCGACAATGGATGCTTTTCAACGACAATAGTGATGGGTGGTGGCAAATGGCGGTTGTGGTAGGGGTGGGTGGCAGTGGATGGTAGCGGTGGTGGGCGAGGACAGATCATGGTGGTAGTTGTGGTAGGGGTGGGTGACCGTGGCTGGCGACGATGATGGGCGACAACAGGTGGTGGTGGGTTATAATAGTGGGTGGCGGTGAGTGTTGGTGGTGCGCGACGGTAGTAGTAGGATGATGGTGGTAGTGATAATAAATAAAAGAATGAGATAACGATGGTGGTGGATGGTGGCGATGGACAACGGTGGCAGCAATTGGTAATGGGTGGTGACGCTAGCTGTAATGGTGATGGTGGTAGTGGTGGGGCAAGGGTGGTGTGGCGGTAGGGTGGCGGCGATGGTGGAGGTAGTGGTAGTGGTAGTGGTGATGGTCGTGAGGGTAGTGGTAGGGCAGTGGGGGTGGTAAGGGTAATGGTGAGATAGTGGTTGTGGTGGTAAAGTGGTGGTAGGGTGGCGATAGCAATGATGGTGGTGGTGGAGTGACGACAGTGGTGATGATATTGGCAGTGGCAGTGATAGTAGTGGTAGGGCGGTGGTTGTTGTGGTGGTTATTGTGACAGAGGTGGTAACATCGATGGCAGCAGTGGTGGTAGCAAGTGGTGATGGTGGTGGGACAGTGGGGGTGGGAGGTTTAGTTGTGGTGGTGGGGTGACGGTAGGAGTGATGGTGGGATAGTGGTTGTGGTGGTAGGGGTGGTGGTGGTGGGGTGGCGACAGCGGTGATAGTGATGGTGACAGTTGTGGTGGTAGTGGTGGTGGGACAGTGGTGGTAATGGTGATGGTGGTGGGACAGCAAGGGTATGGGGTTTAGTTGAGGTGATGGTGGTGGGATGGTAGGAGTGGTAGTGGTGGTGTGGGGCGGTGGTGGTTGTTAGGTGGCAGTGGTGGTGGTACGGTGGGAGTGGGGGTAGCGGCGATGGGGTTGTTGGTAGTGATGGTGGGGGTAGTTGTGATGGTGGGGTTACAATAATGATGGTAATGGTGATAGTGATAGGGGTGGTGGTGGAACGATGGGGGTGTTGGTGGGGTTAGTTGTCATGGTGAGGTTGCGATAGTGGTGGGGGTGGTGGTGGTGGTGGTGTGTAGGGCGATGGGGTAGTGGTGGTGATGGTGTGGGTCGTGGTGATGGTGGTGGGGGTAGTTGTGATTGTGAGGTAGCGATGGTAATGGTAGTGGTGATGATGGTGGGGCAGTGGGGGTGGTGATGATAGTGGTTGTGGTGGTGCGGTTTAAAATACTTTTTTTTTTTTAAGTATTTATAAGAAGTTATAAGTTCTAAAAGTACTTTTAAAAAGTCACTCTAAACACACTCTTAGGAGCTTATTTTTCTTATTAAATTTAGGGTGTTAATATTAGCCGTCAGATTAATTTAAAAGTAAAATTTAAAAAATTTTCAATCGCAAAAAACAAAAATTATTTTGTTTATCTTTTGAAATTTGAATTGTATTGTATTTTATTACATAGATTTTGACCCGTGAATAGTCTATAAATAGAATGGATATTTTAAAATAAGAAAAATTAATTAAGTTATTGTGTACTCTTAAACTAGTACCGAGACAATGTTTGGGACAGATTGAGAAAGATTTATTTTATTTTTTTTGAAAAAAAAAATTGAGTTGACAACTTCTAATATAGGGAGTTGTGCATCTTATGAGATTACTGTTTTATCATTAAAACTTTCATTTTGTGTTGATGATCTCCTTATTTTTGGTTCTAAGATAAAATCAGTTGACAAACATTTGATATTAGAGACTTAAAACCTGTGGATATCATTTTGGGGATTAAGGTAACTAAGAATCAAACAATTCCATCGATAATTGAGTATTAATGAAGCCGATTAGTGCCATTAACCTAGTCACACGTTTATAGAGTGTTAGAAAAGTTAAAACATTTTCTATGAATAATACAAAATGTGGCATTGTTTGTGGTGTTGGAATTTTCAGTAAGGTCATCAACTAGTGGTAGGTCAAGGTGGTGCTATAGTATGGTTTGCAAAGAAATAATCTCGTGTTGCATTATAATCCATGGAATTTGAATACATTACTATGTCATGATCTAGTAAGGATATTAAATGAATGAAGAGTCTCTTGAAATAGACTTCGTT